CCCGTACCCGGTACAGATGGTACATCCCGCTGTTGTTATATAGGGAGCGGCAAGCTTCATTCTGCTGAGTCTGTCTGTCAGTCTGATTTTAGCAAGATGCCGATGATGTGCGGAGGAACCGGAGCGGTCAAAGCGGCCGACTCCACCGTCCAGGAGCTCTGCGATCAGGTGAGCCGCCAGCCCGGGGGTGTCGTATAGATGGGGCCATGAGAGGCCGCTAATACACTGGGTGAGGTCAGGTGACTGCGGATACAATGTATCACTGTGACCCAGGTGAGCTTCCGGGATGGATCTATTATACGGGGGCAGGAGGCGGGTCACCTGTCGGCGTTGATACATTGTATCTATCGGTGTGAGGTCAGGTGACTGCTGATACAATGTATCACTGACCCAGGTGAGCTTCCGGGATGGATCTATTATACGGGGGCAGGAGGCGGGTCACCTGTCGGCGGTGATACATTGTATCGGTATGTGAGGTCAGGTGACTGCGGATACAATGTATTACTGTGACCAGGTGCGCTTCCGCGAGAGACCTATTGTAGAGCAGGCGGCGGTGGGTCACGTGACGGTGCTGATACATTGTATCAATATGAGATCAGGTGACCGTGTCGTTGTGACTAGAATGTTTGTTTACAGCTGCCGGTGGTCACGTGACGCTGCTGCTCCAACACACCTGTAAGCCAAATGTATAAAGAACGTGCTGAACAAATGTTTGTTGTTACCCATGGCAACCAGTACTATGGGTACTATAGTAATTAGACCCTGCTTTTTTTCAGGACAGGTAAATATTATTTCACATGTCTGTAGTTTTATTGGGGAGCATGTGACGGGGTCCCTCTAATCTCTTGTAATCATGTGACTGGTGCACCCGGATGTTGAGTGATTTTGTATCAGCATCCCCCCTGCTGTGATCCATCGTGCACCCATACCCTCTGTAATACATATCCTCCCCTTCGCCCCACCCCTGGCCCTCTGATGTCCCTATGCCCCACCACAACACCCTCTGTAATCCCAACCATATCCCTGGCCCTCTGACACCACCATGCCCTTTGTAATTTTGCCCCCCTCAGAGGACCACTTTTATATTGCTCTCTGTGGGGGTGAAAGTGATGGTTTGGGAACTTCCCTAATCCTTCCAGTGATCCCTGTAT